AAACTTTTTTATTTTACAAAAGGCATGAAATTTCTCAAAAACTCAAAAGTATCTCACATTCAATGATGTGAAGAGATGCTTCACTAGAAAAAAGTGACAAGCATATGACAGATGTTCAAACCTACAAGTCATTAGGGAGATGTGATTTTAACCCGCGATGGGATATCTGTCTCTACACACTGACTTGAACATTAAAAACAATTCCAACCCTGAGCGGTGACTGAGATCTGAGGTTACTCACACGCTCACACACTGCTGAGAGGGTGCTGTGACAAAGTAAAATAGTACAGATTCTGTAGTAAAGTATTTAGTGTGTTTCTACCATGTGAATTTGTCATGAAACATTTATGATGGAGGAGCAACCTCATTCTTAGGAATTTAGTGTTTAAATATGAAAGTTTATGTTCACAAAAGAGCATGTATGTTCATGATGTTAGTATTAATAGTGACATTACTGTGGTCACCCAAAACTGGAAGCCAGCAAGCTCTCTTAACAGGGGAAGCATGGCCATACTGTAGAACACTTGAAACAGAGCAAGCTACTGAGGCACAGGGAGTAATTAGACCTCACAGGCCTTCCACCAAATGAAGCTATCTTCCAAAATTGGATTTCAGCTGAAATCTAAAAGGACAAAGCTACTGAGGCAAAAAGCAGATCAGTTTTTGACAAGGGTTGATGTAAGGGATGGTGTTGGCTAGAGAGTGATTTTGGATCATTTATTGCTGTAATTGAATTGGTTTTTCTTAAACTTGGGAGCGGCACACCATTATTTTCATTGATCAAAATTCACAGAATTCCAAAGTGAGTGATTTCTTTTGTATTCTGCATTTAACTTAAAATTATAAGAAATGCTAGAGGACATAACCCTTGACCTTTTCAAAATATATAGGTAATTTTGCTTTACATAAATATGGAACTTTCAAATGATATACATTCTGTACAGCAAGGATTTGTGCTCTTTACTCAAGTTGAATGATATCTGCACTTCATTACTCTTGCCAATATACTTCCTCCAAAATTTTATTTTATGTTGTATTTTTACTGAACTATTTTATTTTTATTTCTTTATATTTTTCTTCTGGAGATCAAACCCAGGACCCACACACTCTAGATAATTGCTCTATTACTGAGTTACATTGCCAGTTCAAGTACTTTTATAAAAGCATTTAAATCCACGTATGTGTATCTATATAGAAAATGTGTACAAAATAATAGCTTTTTTTATTTTGAAATGAGTTCCTTTAAATAAGTTGGTGGTGAACTTTAACGCAGCTCTTAATTTTTCTTTGTATCCTTTTTAAGTATTTAAATTACCTATGATGGGCACTTAATTTTTATCTAATGGATATTTTTTCCACACCAAAAATGGAAACAAAACTGAGCTAAAGTAAAAATTTTCATTTAGTAATTGACTTAGGTACTGATCTTTGGTTATAATTATGTTGGTGTACAGATAAGCAAAGCGAGAACTCACATCTTAATAATAGTAAGTATTCTGATCCATGAACACAGCAGATCCTCCTTCCTTACTTGGGTTTTGTCTCACTTTCATCTGCATGTTGAGGTTTTATTCTGTAAATGCACACATGTGTGGTTATATATCATGTAATCTGTGCTATTCTAGACAGTCATTTTTGCAGGTCATTTGACAATGAACTCATCTCCTGGACTTCTTTTAAATATAAACTATAGTCTATCATATATTTTGAAATCTTGTTAAATTCATTTATCAGTTTTAATTCTTTTTTGTATACTCTTTGAAAACATTCTGAATAGATAATTATATGCCACTTTCAATGGAATTTGGTTGTTTTTCCTCTTTTCTAGTGTGTTTTAAATGAAACTTTGTTCCACACAGCAAAATTCCAACCTCCAGTTGTACACTAAAGAGTACTGGTCAAAGTAAACATCCTTGCTTTAATTTCACTTATTACTCTTAAGTCACTAGGCACAATTGATCTGCCTTTTGCCTCAATAGCTTCCTCTTTAGATTTAAACCGAATAGCACAAATATCAGAATTGTCCTATAATGATTTCTAGCAGCACTCACTTTTGTGACACTATAATTGCCTGAAAGACAATTGTCACCTTGTAGGACAGAATGAGGAACTATTTCTCAATTACTAATGACAAGATAATGATGTCCTCTCTGCCCAGTCTTCTCAATATAGATTCCGGTTCTAATGGACCATTATAAAGATATCAAAGTTGTCATGCTTGCAAAAGTGGTGACCTTCGGCCGCTTAAGTAATTTGTCATGTAGCATCTTTCGCTAATCTTGGGGGCCTTTTAAAGGTCAGCTATCAAACCATCATAAATATTGATGGACTAGAAAAGATCACATGACAAATGGTCTGCACTCTATGGTAGACAGGACACCTGTCCCTTTTCATTGTGTTTACAAAGCTCAAGATCATGTTTTAAATATACATATGGTTTACAAATTAAACTCAAAGACGTGAAAACAGAAAAGTAGCAAAAAGAATTTGTTTTTATTCTCCCGTATGCTTCATTAAAAAAGGTACATTTATATTAGTAGTACATTAATGAACTGAAGGGATGAAGTGACACATGTTTGTCACAGACATTAATTTACATTTTACAAACATCCACCAAAACAATTAAAAATGAAATAAATATATTTACATTTCATATTTCTGGTATTTTCATTTCATTTTCATGTGTATAAAATATATAACATTTATAATATGCATCTTAAAAACTAAATTATAATGTGCAAAGAAGTGATATTATGATTTTAAAGTATTATCTAATACTAATAAATCATAAATGATTTTAGAGGTATAAATAAAGCAATTCCTTAAGGAGAGCTCATGAACTCAGCAGTATTAATAGTAGCAAAATGTTTGTCATTAATATTGGAAAATTTACACTTACCTTTAAGAGTTAAGCACAAGACTTCACTTGTGCTTTTAAAGCTTCTCCACACTGCTGATTTCAAGCACTAATTCTGAATTATTGTCAAGATTATTACTTTTCACCAGTAATAAATCAAGTTTCTTCTAAATCCAGCCTTCAACATAGGCAAAGTTTATGAACAAGCTTTGTCACTGTAAATGAGGAAAATGTGAATCTATAAACTGATGAACCCAAAGGAGGATTTCTCTGCTTGCATAAAAAATAATTTCTCTGCTTGCTAACACGGAGCTACCATTTATTTTCAAGTAATTGCGGTTCTTTTGCTGAATGACAGTTTTATGAGTGAAGGCTTTAAACCAGTAAGTTGATACATACTTGAAATATGGAGAAGTGACTAACTGATTATTCTCCCTTTAAAAATAAGGTCAGATGGCAAGTGTTGGGATATACATTACACTTATATCATCTATTGTAGAAATTTTGAAATAAATATTTGTTACAATGTAACAAATTAAAAATACCCTTGTTTTAATATACTTCCGTTTAAATGATTTGTTATTTTTTACCTGGCAAAAACATTGTTATATTAGTTTTCAAATAATTTTGAACTCCCTTCTTTGACTGAGGTACCACAATAAATTCCACTTAAATTCGCAGTATGTGCACTGTTACGGACCCTTTACTGACTTACATACACGTGCACACACACACTTATACCAAGGCACTGAAGGGGTGATCGCATGATTACGCATTCTCTGTTAAAGTCTGCTCCATGGAGAAACTAGGATTTGATGAATAAATCTCATGCATCTGAACCTAAATTACATGAGAGAGAAATGTACAATTATTTTTCTGAATTTTCTCATTCAAGTACTCCAAATTATAACAAATACAATGGCTACTGATTACAAAAGAAAACGTGAAATACTAGCTGCTAAATTGCGGAAAATCAGCATAACATTTTCCCAAGTGGTGGCATTAGATAGCAATGTAGGCCTTTTAATTTTGCATTAGTGGTATCAATAATAATTATAATGACAACAATAATAATGATATTGTCATACCTTTTAATTCAAGCTATGATTTTGCAAATATAAAATAATATGAGTATGTATGTGAAACATTTAATATAATTTATAGTAAGTATTTTATTGTATTTATACACACATACATGCATGTATGTGTGCACATATATGCATGTTGGGCAGGGCAGCAAATATTAATATCTCTCATCTGCACCTTCGCTGTCATATGTGTGAGCATAGATTACATTTTAACAATATAAAAAGGAATTCATTAAGTTGCCTTTGTACTTTAAAATGGAACTTCTATAACCTTGGACATTTATTTTTAATAATTCTTGATCATCTATGTAAAGATTAAAAACTTAATTTTTATTTATTTTTATTTTCCTTTTAGACATCCAGCCCATTCCTAATTGCCTCCACACCTACAGCAACACTCTGTAGCCAGACCGATGGCATACAACGTGGGTCACACTGAGATTCAGTTCTAGTTAGTAGCAGAGGTGCTCTGCTGCACCACTCGCACTGCTTAGAATCCTGTGGTAGATGTCTGGATGGCTCTGTCTCTGCCTCTGCCTCTGTCTCTGCCTCTGGCTCTGTCTCTGTCTCTTTGTCTCCTACATAAATTAAGAAGAGAACTACTAAGCCAGAATTTTGGTGTGCTTTATATTTTCCTATGACTATTGTGATTGGTCAATATCGTGAACAATAATCAGAGTAAATTGTATTAAAATATTATTCCATTTGACACAGAGTTTTTGATAAAGTATCTTAGATCCAACTTAATACTTTCCCAGGACCAATCACAAACCTCAAACTTTTGTTTTCATTTGTTTTTAAGAAACAATATAATGCAAATACATTAATAACTTGTAGTGATTATGAAAACACCCTGATACTGACTTTTTACATTTAATTGAACAATTGTCCTTTAAATGAGTGATTTTATTTCCTTCTTAAATGATTTTTATGTCTTGTTTAAAAAATCAAATTGAGGGCTGGGGATTTAGCTCAGTGGCAAAAATGCCTGCCTGGCAAGCTCAAGGTCGTGAGTTCGGTTCCCAGTACCAGAGAAAAACCAAAAAAAAAAAAAAAAGGAAATTGAACAATTTTTATTAGATATTTGCTCATCTTCACAAAAATATATCTAGTGTTTGGTTTAGATGGGAATATGTGAGTCAGTTTTAAAAAGTGAAATTTTTAAGTATTTGAATAAACAGCTGGTTATTTAAAAGCAGATGTCAAAAAAGCTTTAGTGATATGGAAGTTTACCCACTTCACACAACTAATGATATAAGACCCTGACTCCTAAATGTAGGTGCATACCTCTAAGACTTGCAAATCTGCAGTTTCTTCACATTTATAATTCTAAAATAAAATACCTAGGTTGTCATTGCTTAATCATTTTTTATGACATGGTAAGATTCAGCTTTTCAGGGCTGTGGATTTAGCTCAGTGGCACAGCACCTGCCTGGCAAGTGCAAGGTCCTGAGTTTGATTCCTGGTACTGGAAAAAAAAAACCAAACAAATAAAAATAAATGATTCAGCTCTTAACTTTTCTTCTCAAATCTTACCTTAACTTCTAATAAGACATTACTCGAATGGAAAACTATTATTTTCTAACATCAATATAGCTATGAGACTGCTTGGTAGGGCCATTTCAGTTCATGATTAATTAGTAGAGATAGGGTTACAAATTTTTTCTTACAATGATATTTGTTGACAGTACTTTATAAAAGATTTTTAGGGTCACTGAAAATCTATGAAACTTTAACATGATAATAAATTTAATTAGGTAAAATATAAATCTGTTTAAAATGAAGGAAGGAACAAGAGATTCGTAAATATTTCCACCATTCATAATTAACACATTACTCGTGTGTTTGGGAGAAGTAGTCTAGTTTTTACTGTGTCTGTCATAGAGCAGAATGACTATTTTTATGCAGTTCCTAAAATACTTCACAGTCAGATAAGCAAAATTAGAATGCCAGTGTGGATTAAGAATACAAGGAAAAATTTACATCAGCAAATTAAAGTGCTTCCTTTGGATGAGAATTTTTGCATGCTCCTTGCTGTCATTTTGTTTTTTATCTCTTTACACTCATAATACAATCAATGAGAGGGCATTAGTTCATGATCTGGCCCAATATGTATTTGTCATACAAAATAATCTAAAATACAGAAATAACCATTTGATTGGCATTTTTATTTATAGGTAGCTTACAATTTTTATATTATTTACAGAATTCTTCATTCCATTCATTCTTTTGTCTCCACCTTTGGTGAAAGCAGTGTGTAAATGCAAGTTAACTAAAGGAGAATAGGCTCTTGTCTCCACTTCGAATAATTTACAGATGCTTCCTGGTTTGGGAATGTGTATAAGTTTCCTCATGATCTTTTTTTCTGCTGAAATTTCATTCTGACTCCACTGGTGACTTGTGGATATTGTGGCTTCTCCAGAGTGTAAAAGGACTAATAATATTTATTCTGTTTATTTAGTCACGGTAAGTGTCACTGCAGGACTGAGGATATCAAGTAGCATACTTTGCTTTGCTTGTGGTAGAAGAGCTGGCAGCAGCAGAAGCAGCAGCCTGATTCCCTAAGAACAGAGGGTCCAAACAGGCCACTTTGGCAGCAAAGAATGAATGGATACAGTGAAGAACAGCAAATAAATTTGAAAATTCCAACTCCTGAAAGGGAAGCACAAATAGGGGAGATAAACGTCAAAATCATGTTTTTTTTTTAAATTGAAAACTCTGCATTTTCAAATACAATAAGCTTATCTAAAATCCACACTATCTAATATATGAACACTAATTTAATAGCAGCATTTTTATTGCATATGTAAATGTCCTACGTGAATTTACTTCAAATTTGGTGGTGGAGAGACAGAACGAGTATGTATACATATTGCCTATGAAAGCCACCTTAGGATTGATAAACACTACATAGAAATTTCTTCTGTGAGGTTGAATTTTGCGCTAGCTAATGTACAAGTTAAACTAGTCTTGGAAGTACCTTAGAACATATTTTTATCTGTTTATATATATTTCAAGTGATAAACAAAGATTAGCATAATTTAAAAAAAACAGCTGTTTTATAGAATGAGTCACTATTTGCTATGGGAAACTGAATATGAAATGTTGAAAACAAACATCTTATGACACTAGGAGCTTAGGAGCTAAATGACTCACAAAAAGTAATTCGTGTCTCAATTATACTTGTTGTAGCTGCATGTTTAATGATATAAATGACATTTATACAAAATAAAATAAAAATAACTAGAGTCCATTCATTCTTATGGATACTTAGAACTCTGTTTCCCATTGAGAGACATGAGGAAATATTATATATTTCAATGAAAATAGAAAAAATGTCTTTTAAACCACAAATACCATCAAAGTACCTATAAATCTCAGCATAGCCTTTAAAATATGTATTTAGTGCTTTTAAGGAACATCTACAATAGATCCAGAACCACTTTTTAATTCCATGAAGATTAAGAGAGGTTTAATACACTGATGTTCTTAATGAAGTTAATATGTGGAACTTATCACAGTGCGGATAGCTAATGGCTAATAAACCATATGAAATAATTGATAAACTTGTTTCTAACTCATTACATATTTGTACTAAGAGATGTAAATTATAATTGATTTGCTCAGATTACTTACAATTTATAGTTTCTAGCAATGGAAAATAATAGAGTAGCCAATCAATTATGACATATTACAGTATCTGTTAAAGATCAGAGTTTCTTAAAATAAAATACATCTTTCTCTGAATATTTTCTTAAGCTGTGAAGTAGGAGCAGTATGGAATGTAATATATATGCATAGGCCCATACAATATAAAAGAAAGAGTTCTGCTATCTCAAAATTTACCTTCAAATCTTCAATATTTCATAGTCAATTTCTAATGTCAAATAGTGATTTATTTTAGAAAAAGGCAAAGAATAATTCTCAAAAATGCTTTCAACAAACATGTTTTTAGTAACACCATCACAATTATCTTAAGAGCTTTATCTTCAGCTTCCCACCTCAGAAGCATTTGTGATGTGTTGCCTTAGCTCACATTTGTGATGTTTTCTTTTGCCTTAACTCACCCTGAAAGTTCTCCATTCACCCTGCCATTCTTTGCGTAGCCAGCTTAATTCTCATGCAGATATTGTGTCAACCTATTTAAAATCCACCTGATATGAGAAAAGGCTGGAAAGTGTCAGAAAATGTGTGATTTTCCTGTGTGTCACTAAAAAATAAAACAGCAAACACATGCAATTTACTCTTGGTGGGAATGAACATAGTGTGGAATGTTGCAAGCAGGCAAAAATTCAGTGAGAAGAATGGTTTCTCTCAAAATAATTCTGTAACTTTATTAAGTTGGAGATTTTATTTTTGTAATAAAATATTCCCTACCCAAATATCCAGGTAGCTAGAGAAAGATTTTCTATCTTGTGAAGTGTTTGTCAATAATTTGATATTGATGAAGACAAGATTTTCACACCTTTGTCTTTTGGCGGGATGGTAGACAGGAAAAAACTACTGGTAATGAGGGAGTGAAAACAGAAGACATGCATTCATGGCCCTTGATTCAGTATTAACCCAACTTTCTTCCACATGAATGAGTAGCTTTGGGAGTCAATGATCAATTCTAGATTAATGGCAAGCAGTGAGTCACTAACCTTTTATTTATTTCCAATGAAACCCAGACCTACATTTCCATTCATCTATCAAACACCCAGAAATGGCTTTCAGCATGCAATAAGCTCTCCCCTTGGAGTAAAACTTTTCTAATCTTCATTAACTCCATAAATCTCACTAAAAAAAGCTGTACAAAATTTAAGGATGCACTCACTCAATAAATATTTACACCATTTGTTCCTTTCAATGAAAAGCTATAGCGCTAAACAAAATGAAGCAAAACATGCCCCAAAGCCAAGTGCAGTGGCGCTTGCCTGTAGTCCCAGCTGAGATGGGAGGATTGCCTGAGCCGAGTTCTGGGCTGCAGTTGCCCAGCCTAAGCTCAACATCCATACAGTGACCTCCCAGGAGCAGGGGATCACTAGGTTGTCTAAGGAGGGGTGAACCAGCCCAGGTCAGAAATGGAGCAGGTCAAAAAATGACCCTAAAACAACAGTAACAAAAGGAATAGTGGGACTTACATTTCAGTGACAAAAGATAAAATAGAGCGTCACAAATAAATCAAATGTAACATATCAAGATATGCTGGGAACGGTCAAGAAAATAGGGAAGGAAGGTAATATAGAGTGCACTAGGGGTTGGTGAGTCCGGAAAATCCACACTGCCATGTAGGAAAAATCTCTGAGTTCACTAAGGCACTGATCGTTTTGATATTTGTGGGAATATATTCATGGTCGGAGAAGTATAATTCCAAAGGCCCCACAGTAGACACAGTCTGAGAATTTGCAGAAACCAACAGCTATTATAGGTAGAATGCAGTGAGTGAACTGAACACTCTTTACTAGAAAATGAAGTCAAAGAAAAGACACAGGCCAAAATTTGAAGTGCACTGCCAGTCCTTTCTGAGTTTTACTGTGAGCGACAAGCGACAAGGATTGCAGCATGTGAAAATGATCACTCAGTGATTTCTGACTGAGTAATAGTGAAGAAGTGAGAGGGGATGGGTAATGAAGTTCTTCAATAGGGAAAGATGTCAGGTTTGAAAATAAAGCTGCATAACTGCATAACAAACCTCCAACTTAATGCCCTGCCATTTCAAAAAATAGAGGAGGGGCTGGGGATTTAGCTCAGGGGCACAGCGCCTGCCTGACAAGCACAAGGTCGTGAGTTCGATTCCTGGTACTGGAAGAAAAACAAAAACAAAATTAAAAAAAACAAACAAAAATTAGAGGAATTGTAAGAAAAGGAAGTTTAGTATGAAGGTTAACATTTTGGTTCTAAACACTGCACATTTGAGAGCATTTTAGACACAGCAACATTTTAAGAGTTGCCCATATTATTCTAGACGTAAATAAAAAATCAGTGTTGGATTTTTTTTTACTCTCTGAGCATATAAATAGTAGAAAACCATGTGTGGTCTGGATGAGAAAATCACGGTGGGGAGGATATGTACAGAAAAGAGTGTGGCCCTCATCCTTGGCATCCTACAGTACAAAAATATAAGAAAGTGGCAGAAAACATAAAAGTGAGAGCAGAGCTTTTCAAATGAGTGGGAAAAAGGGTCTTGCAAAATGCCAACTGGAAACTAACCATTATTCAACAACACAGAGGTCATTTTGAAATGTTACAAGATAGACTCTGTGTGCGTGTGCATGTGTGTGTAAAAATGGAGGTAGATGACACATAGAAATGGGCTCACAAAACACCAAGTGGCAAAGAACTAGAGGGACCTTTTCTGTTAAACAGAGCAGAGAAACAGACCCAATAGACAAAATTAAGAATATTTTTCTATGGCGTAGAACATTGCTACACAGTAATTGCTCATTCATGAGTGACGTGTTCTAAAACATCCACTGAGGACCTCAGTTTGTGGAAAGTATTAATTCTATACAAATTTCCTTTAGTTTATGCCTTTGATGACCTACTACTAAAAAATTCATTGATACAATGACAACCTCATGTTAAGTTTAAGGATGCCAAGCAGAGCCACCATTGGGATACTAATGCCAGGGATGGGGTGTGTCCAAAATCATCATAAAGTCATAAACTAAGCATCTTAAGTCAGGGTCTGCCTATATACACTATGTTTTTAACCCATACCTACAAATCAATTACAAACTTTAACTTATGAACTAAGCATAGTAAAAAGTTAATGATAACTAATGATGGAAATTATACTATACTGTAATGACAGTTGTGTAAATATGGCCTCTCTCTAAAAATACCTCAGAAGTACCTGTAAGGAGGTAGTAGATAGATCATGGTGACCCTGAGGAAGTGGATGGTTCACACTTTGAGAAGAACAGAACGGGAAGGTACAGAATCTCATCTTACTACTCTGAATGGTGCCCAAATTGAAGATTATCCACCACTGATAACTGGGATTTTCTATTTGATAGTGTTAGACCATGTTTGACTACAGCTAATTACAGCAAGCAGAATCATGAATTAGGATGGACTATAGCATATTTGTATACACGCTGCCTTAAGGTAGGTAGTAGATGTGAAGACAATCGTAGAAACCATATTCCTGAAGGAACAAGAAACACAGAACTAGTGCAAAAGCGGGGAGTCTGGTCTTGCAGAGAAATAGAGACAATTCATCCACAGCGACAGGACACAGTGTGGAGCATGTGGGCGCAACTCAAGGCAAGAGAAAGTTTATGATGTGCAGTTATTTATTTGTTTTCTACGTGAGACAAGAAGAGAGGCCATTGCTCAGCAGGGGGTAAGGCGATCTTGAAAATCTGGACAAAGTATGAAATCATTTTATGTAATACTTTAGGCATCGTGCATGAAATGTGTGTTCTACACTCTGCCCACTCCTCGGAGACATCTAATGACCTCATGAGTCTACTGTATGCATAGGCACAATCCAGGGAATTATTCAGTGTACCCAATAAATTAGTTTCCATCTATATTTTCATATTTTCTTCCCACAAGAGCTAGTCACGAAACATACACTAGATCACTAAAACATAAATTAGCTCTGCTTTCTGGAATGTAAAGACAAACAGATGAAAATCCTTGGGGGAAAATTGCATACTATC